CTTGAAACTCCTCTACCGTAAGAAAATATAGAAAGTTAAACTATTTTAAACAGAACAATATTCCACTCTACTATAGAAACTTAACTTCAAGAAAACTTTCTAATTTTATTAAGAGATCCATCTTGTTTGCATATCATTTTGGTCGACCGTGTCTAAATTCAAAACCTTAACACATTAGATTTATCAGTTCTCTCACTTATATTGCCAATTAATATGACACTTCATGATATCCCAACGAATTAGTTCTATTTATAGATGGTTGTCCATTTCTATGACCTGAATGATTGTGCGAGCAGCATTTATTAATCCTCTTTTAATATGAATCGTGCCATTTAAAAAAAAATAAAAAAATCCTCTGTTTTTAATATGTAAAGGAAGTTAACCTGTAGATCTGCCAATTGCTAATTCGGCTGAGAGTGTAGTGCGAAATGGGATGAAATCATATAAGCCATTGCCAGATTTATTTAGGGAGACACGGTCATCAATTCTATACACGGCCTTTTTTTGACTTGGGTACCATGTTACATCAGCAAACTCATGCTTTCTTCCAAAATTAATCAATTCATCTCCTAAATCAGAATCATTTTTCTTCAAATAGGTAAGAGATCGCTTGAAGAGTGGTTCTAATTTCAGGGTAACCTGTCAAAAAATGATAACCAAACATATCAATTGGACCGTTAACCCAAGTTTTAAAGTTACTATCACTATATTTATTAATCATGTATCTAAAGAAACAATTCAACCCAAAAACTTAAGCTATTAGATGAGGCTACATTAATGATTTTATATACTGCCCCCTCACACGAGAGCTCACTGGGCTTGAAAGAAAGTAGGGGCGGTGAGGATTGAACCCGGTACACCGAAGCTCTATACCATGTAAACAACCAATTCAATCCAAAAACTTAAGCTATTGGACGAGACTACATTAATGATTTTATATATCTGAAGAATGTGTGAAATATAGAAAGCATTTAGTTTATGTTTAAAACCTATTGAAATTATGACCAACAAGATTTATTAAAAAAATGTTTCATATTAATTATAATCTATTTTTTCTTGATACCTAGAAATAGAAAAGGTATAAAGACAAATTACCTGAGAAATGACTCCAAGAACACCTAAAGAAACTCTGGCTGCATTAAGATCTTCGTCACATTCGTTAAGGTCCCGAACCTTAGCATAACCATCTTCAGGTCCTGCGGGGCTAACAATTCGAAGCTCCACAACATACTCATGAACTGCACTTCCCTTACCCCACAATGTACTTCCGTGAGCACCTGTAGCCATAAGGCCACCAATGGTTATACCCCACCAATATGGTGTATATGGCAACGCCAATCCAGCTTTAGCAGCCTCACTGATGATCTGCCTCAGTGTTATACCACTCTCCACTGTCATTGTCATTGCTTCCGCATCGATTTTTAATATCTGGTTGAGATTTTTGGTGCTTATCAGCAACCCATTTTGGCCATCAGGGCAAACAAGCTTAGGGATGCTGTGAGAGAAGCGTGTAGCAGCTTTCATTTTTATGTTGTTTTTAGAAGCTGATGCAACCATGGATATGAGCTCTTCCTCTGTGGTTGGGTACATAACCTCACCAGCCTGGCAAATACTTCGGTCAGGAAAGACCCCGTACGTGTTCGTGATAGTGCAGTTTGTATTATTTGAAGAACAGTTAATCGGATCCTCGGGAAGAGTTGAAATCACACTATAGATGAAGAGGAAGATGAGAGTGGATTTGAATACTACTTGTTCTCTCATCTTTTTAGAGCATAGCATTCTCATAGTTTACTCTCTCTTTTTCTTTGTCTTATTTTATCTCCTTGAACCCAGCATTATGCTATTTATAGAGTGAGAGCACTGAGAGGGATATGGACGTCGTTGGTGGCTTGAAGAAAATATCATTGACTATGAGCGAATTATGGCGTGGTCAGTGATGTACAGGCAATTTAATGCACGCACATCATCTCATATTATTTTTTTATTAAATTTTATTTGACGAATAAAATAACTACCACCGGACTCAATTATTATGGATTAAATAAGTTTGATATTTGATCAATAATAAATGGCGTGAAGCGTGCCCGCATTAGTCATTTTTCATGTCCATGGAGCGCAAATGCGGCATTTCGAAGCTTTTTGACCACTACAGCCTTTTTTTTAATAATTAATTATCAAATTGACCCTGTTTATATACTATTTCAAAAATTTAACCTCTTCAGAAAACATAACACCAATCTGCCCCTGTTTGACCGTTGACCATGAAGCCTACCCGGGTACACCCCTCCCTACCCGGGTATATTTTGAAGTTTTTTACATACCCGGGTACACCCCTCCCTACCCAGGTATATTTCTTGAATCTAGAAAAAGTTTGAATTATTTACCCGGGTAGGGAGTGGTGTACCCGGGTAAATAATTCATACTTGCTTGTAATCTTGAAAAGTGTGGATTCTTAATTTGAATTAGGGGATAATGGAAGAATAAGAACCACTTGCAATCAGTGCCAATTTGGCATAATAATTTGGGCTTGCATTCCTTGCTATTGAGATCTGTGCAAACTGAGTTGTGGTCGAGATCTGAAAACTGAGAAGTGAATTTTTGATGGAATACACAATTGCTATATGCCTATATCAACTCTGAGGTGAGGAGAGAGAGCTTTGCGAGGTCTGTTGAAGAGATCAGAGACCAAGCTTTTTGTGAAAGTATGATAATATTTGTGGGTGGCAGAATGGAGACTGAGGTACCTACCATGCCCTCTTTCTTGTCTCCTACTTAAGCCCTCTGTTTTTCTATCCCTCATTTACATAAACCATTAAAAGAAAGACTTCAAACTCAAAAGAACAAGCTAGAAAATCCAGAGCATATAGGACCACTCATTATCTATATGCATGACAAGCATATAGAGTAGAGAACAGTTAAAATTTTGTCAGTAATGTAGGACCCTTGATCTTCTCTGTTGGAGATGGCAACAACACGAGACTTGGCTATGAAGAATCCCAAAGGAATGGCCAGTTACAACACTTTGAATTATTTACCCGGGTACACCGCTCCCTACCCGGGTAAATAATTCAAACTTTTTCTAGATTCAAGAAATATACCCGGGTAGGGAGGGGTGTACCCGGGTATGTAAAAAACTTCAGAATATACCCGGGTAGGGAGGGGTGTACCCGGGTAGGCTTCATGGTCAACGGTCAAACATGGGCAGATTGGTGTTATGTTTTCTGAAGAGGTTAAATTTTTGAAATAATTTATAAACAGGGTCAATTTGGTAATTAATTATAAAAAAAAGACTATTTCGCATATGAATTGCAGCCGATGGACATTGACATATTGACATAATTCTACATTCAAAAAAAAAGAGTTGTAAAATAATAGTACTGAGTTCGGCAGTTTCGAAGGAATTCAACGGACAGTCGTAGGCCAAAAAAAATTTAAATATTATTTTTTAATTAATTTTTTTGAAAATGTTGCATTTTGAAATCTAATTACTAATTTGTAGCAACCGGTGGCGTTCAAAATAGGAAGCAATCAGTTGTGCCTAATTCCAGGCACGCTAGGGGGTTTGGTCGCAAAAAGACAATATCTCTGTGATTCGAATGTTCGAATTAGGTGATTTTTTTTGTTCCACGTAATTTTTCGAGATCTACTCGCAAAAAATTTTCACAGTGGATTTGGTAAAAAAAAAATGCTTCCTTGTGCCCTATTTGCCACATTTTATATCTGTGAATGTGAATAACGTTATTTAATTTCTATGCTTATTTTTATTTTCCAACACTAACAAATATTCGTGACTTATTATTTTAATGGACAAGAGAAATTATGTAAAACTTATTCAACTCATTAGAAAATAGATATCCGTATCTCAAAATTTTAAAGTTATTGTTGCAAATTCAAATCGTGTTTGTAGGAGACGGAACTTCAACTCAAATTTGACGTTTGAGAACTGATTAGTGATGATTATATGGCTTTTCCAACGGAAAAAAATAGATAATAAAATAAAAGGGTTTTAAAGTTGTTTTTACAATAAAATATGTATTTTTTAAGTTTCACTCACCAGATGTAAAACTTTTTATAAAGGGTAATGATGAAGACGCATATTACACAGTCCCTTCAGTAATAATGCAGAAGATGCGGTGAGGAATGTTGTTGAATAGAGATGAAATAAATATGCTGATTATATGGGATATAGATACCTACAGAAATTTGTCAGTGCATACATTTCAAAAACTTATATAGAATAAAAAAAATTATCTGATCAGATATCTGAGTCAAGAGTTATGATCTTTCAAAATTTTAAAATAAAATTGTTAAAAATTTTATTTCACGTGTTATCATAGTGTAAGTCGCGTCCAAAATGGAATACAACCCGGTTGCGCCCCATTTCGTGCACGACTGGTTGCTACAAATTCGTAAATAGATTCCAAAATACAACTTTTTCATAATTTTTATTAAAAAAGCAATGTTTAGATGTATATCACTTTATACATCCATGACTTAAATAGGGAGACATCTGCTTCGCAAAAAAAGACATCTGCCGTGCCCAAATTTTTTTACAGAGTTAAAAAATTGGTGAAAAACCTCAATCTTGGAGGAAAGAAGATACATTGTTGCCCTAATGGACGTATGTTGTTTTATAAAGAAGACGATCAATGCAAATTATCTGCAGAATATTGGAATAAATATGTCACGAAGAATGGAAAAGAATGGAAAGGTAAAAGCGGTTTCATTGAAGATGTGATACATTCCTCTAGTTATTTTAAAATAATTCATTTATATTTCAGAATAAAGTAACAAATTTCTCCCTCCACTCATATCTATTTTCTTAGTCTTAACTCCGTTATTGTTTTAACTATCCACTTTCTCTTTTCTTATTGCAAAAAATACACTCATTCACTTTTCTTTTCTTTTCTTTTTTACATATTTAAAACTCGCAACGCTTAAAAGGCATAGATCTCCTCTTGTCCCAAACATACATAGGAAGCTTGTTACATTTGTTTAGCTCATAAGCGAGTACAAACCCTTGCTTCCTTATAGACTTTGCCTGGTCTGCAAAAGTAGCCTTTGCTTGGTGCACAATGGTTGTCCTGCGAACATATGCACAGCCCTTCTAGTGCACACCCATCCTTTGATATTGTTAACCCTTCTTTTAAACCAAGAACTTGGTCTGTCCACTCACTAGAGAATAGACCTTGTGAATCATACGCATCTTTAACCTTAATAAATTTCCCAGCATTTTTGTACTTCTTGATTACTCCTTCAAATGCCAAGTTCCTGTTCTTACCCCAATGGGGTAGACCTCCGTATTTGAAAATTCCCAACTGCTCAACCTCTTCAATGATGTCTTCATAAAGCCTTGGAGTCATCGGGTCTTTGCTACGGTAGTATGTGATATCAAAGTCTATAGCATCCTCTTGTTTCCCCAAGTAGGCACTTGAAGCCTTGACATAACGCATTAGAATTCCGTTGTAGATCTCTACGCCACAAAATCCCTCTGGTTCCAATTCAACTAGCTTTTGCACATCTTCAATAAAATTCTTTACAACAGACAAGCCAATGGTAAATGTGGTTTGGTGAAAGAACTCTCCTTTCACCCTAAAGTCCCAAGGACAGGATGTGAGCATTGCATCCTTAAGTCCATCTAGGCATGACCCAAATGACTGAAGGTGGTTTTGAAATCCAATAACAGGGAATCCACTGAAGATTGTACCTGCAAGTACCAAAAATAAAACAAGTGCTTCAGCTTCTGAAATCGAAGTTACGTATATTTAACTAATGGAAAAAAAAATGAAAAGTAATTCTAAAAAGTGCTTATTTGACTGGCATATATATAAAATAAAAATAAAAAAATCAGCACCATTGTTAGTTAGTCCATAAGCAGTTGCTACAAGGGCATGCATTACTCCCTTTGCAAGTAAGCACTTTCCGTTAGCATCACCAATGGATTCCTGAAAATCCTCTGCAGCCCATACCCAAAAGCCAAAAAGGGTAAACTGTAAAAACAGGTGTGGTTGGTTGAAAAGTTACAAATTGTTAAAATGAAAATTTCAAAACAAAAACTAAGTTATATTTGCTTGGCATAACAAAAATATTTATAAATTACTTCATATCTCTGTTTGGTTGAAATCACTTTTTCACATTTACACTTTCCATTTACTCAACCAAAAACACTTTTTATTTAAATAAATAAAAAGAGTAAATGTAGTTTACATTGTCATGTCAATAAAGCAAAGCTGACCTGTGCTTCTGATGAATGCCAATTCAAGTGAAGGAGTGGAACGGAAAGGGATGAAATCATAGATACCACTGCCTGATGTATTGGTTGGTACACGATCATCAACACGGTATACAGCCTTGCGTTGCCTTGGGTACCAAATTATATCTGCAAACTCATGTTGCTGTCCGAATACAGCTGCTTGACCTCCCAAATCCAAATCGCTTTTTGTCAAATAGGTAATGGATCGCTTGAAAAGAGGTTCCAGTTTCAGAGTAATCTGCTTAAAGTCATAGGCAATTAGCATAGTAATATAATATTCAGTTTTTTTTTTTCCTGTTTGATTCCACAATTAGAAAAACTAAAAATGTATTGGAAAAGTATTTCTCTGGTTTCGATTGAGCTCAAAATGACGCGATTTTGAGTTATAAGATTAAAAACTTATAATGATAAAGACTAATATAACCCTGCAATATATTAGAATTACAAAAAAACCTTGATTTTTGTTTCAAAACAACATCGTTTTGGGCTATAAGTTATCTCCATTAACTGGAGAAATTATTTACCCAAAATGTATATACAAATAGAGAAAAGTGGGTGTTATTTTAAGGTATGTAAAATTGTGTCAGTGAGAAAAAAAAATCAATCATGGGGAAAAAAGAGTAGATAAAAAAAAAAGTGTGGAACTTATTTTTTTGTAAGAGTGAAATAATACAAATTGTGTAATTTTTCATACAAATAATAGATTTTGTAGTATAAAACGTTATCGTATATAATTTTACTTTTAAAAAATGGGATCCAAAAGTACAAAGATTTTTTACTTATTTATTGATGCATACCAAATTCCTTAAGCATTATTAATTATTAGAATTAAGGGTATATCCTGCCAGCAAACGTCAAATGTTGAAACCAAACTATGATAAAAAAAAAAAAAAAAAAACTTTGTCTTTAGAATTATTTTCTACTTGTATGTAGTATATTTTCTAGATTTATTTATACTTCTGAATGAGTTTCTAAATCCATAAAACTTGTATTATATCAATCATGATTTTTTCATTTTAATGTTTAGTAAAAATTAACTTGATGCTTAAAAACTAATACATGTAAAGAAATATATTATTGTATTAAAATGTGAGTTAATTAAAATTTTAGAGACTCTAATTGTACTTAAAAAGATGGTTAATCTGAATCTCATAATAAAATACTATTTCAGTCGAACCACAATTACCCATTTGTTTTAATAACAAGTTAATGTACTATCGTTTTTGATTTTTGATTTTTATTTTTTTAGATATTCCAATCATTTAATTGCTTTTCACTTATTAATTTAAATTTTTTGGTTGAATTATTTTTATCTTTTATTGTTGAAAACAATAATAAAGTTAAAAAAAAAAAAACAAATATATCTAAAGGAAGATACCTAGAAGTTTCTATAATGAAAGAGTGGGACACTTTGCTCCGTTAGACTAGTGAGTTATACTTTATTTTTTTAAGTGGTAGTCAGGTTATACTTTTTACCTTTGGGTGAAACAGGAAGCTTCTTTTTGAAGATTCTTCGGCACATCCTTCTTGAGAAAAGTAGGATTAGAGTCTGGATCGAGCATTTTTATTTTTTTTCTGGAGACTGATTTGATTTGATTATTACCGTTTGCATGTTGTGTGAGGATTTAGTCATATATATAAAAGCGAGATACTAACATATGAAACTTAATTGACGATTACGAATTTACGATGATATGAACAGTGAAGGAGAACGATATAATACTATACCTGTGAAATCACTCCGAGCACGCCGAGTGATACTTTTGCTGCATTGAGATCTTCATCTTCTTCAGTTAAGCTCAGAATCTTAGCATATCCATCTTCAGGGCCTGCGGGCGTAACAATTCTAAGCTCCACGACATGATCATGAACTGAACTTCCTTTACCCCACAATGTGCTTCCATGAGCACCTGTTCCCATAAGGCCCCCAATTGTCAAGCCCCACCAATATGGCCCATATGGCAATACCAAATTGGCCTTTGCAGCTTCATTGATGAGCTGCTTCAATGTAACACCACTCTCCACCGTTATTGTCATTGCTTCCACGTCAATTTTCAATATCTTGTTCAGATATTTGGTGCTTATTAACAACCCATTTTGGCCTTCAGGGCAGACCAACTTGGGGATGCTGTGGGAGAAACGGGTGGCAACTTTCATCTTCCTTTTGTTTTGATTTGCATATGCAACCACTTTCACAAGCTCTTCTTCTGTTGTAGGGTACAACACTTGTGCTGCTTGACATATGGTTCGATCAGGGAAGATGCCATAGGAGTTTGTGATAGTGCAGCTTGTGTTATTTGAAGAGCACTTTATGGGATCCTCCGGAATAGGGAGCGCCACATAGAAAAATAGAAAGAGAAGAATGGGTGTGAAGGTTAGCTGTGATATCCGCTTTGAGCATAACAAAGGCATGGCTGCAAGCCTGCAACTTTTGAAACCTCAATGTTTATTATCTTTTAGACCGTACATGCCTTTCGCTAGCTCACAAGTATATATAGATATGTTGGTTGAGTATAGAGCAAGAAAAGGTTCATGACATTTTTGTGGTACTGTGGTTTTTCAGAAGGGAATGGACTGTTAGATTTACTTTATTTACGGGGCTTAAGGATCTGTGTTCCTTGTGAACTGAAGAAAGAAAGAAGGATACCCCTTCAAATCTCAGTACTACCAGTTCCACGTGAAGTAGGTGTGTATGTTCCACCTTTATTTAAAAGAGGAGTGATATTCTAACTGCTAAAATTTTCTACTACCAACTTACTACTTATCTAATCACCATTAGATTAACATTTTCTCTCTCTTCCAAAACTTTTTAACATTCACTCTCTTTGATACAATGGTGATGTGATGGGTAGTAAGTTAGTAGTAAGAGTTTTTGGTAGTTAGAATATCCTCACTCTATTTAAAAAGCCAATATGTTCCTTCTTATATATATATATATATATATATATATATATATATATATATATATATATATATATATATACGGGAGGGTTATATTTACAAACTTTTTTGTTTACAAACTCTTACAAACTACATTATCTTCTCCCGAGAGAACACTAGGTCACACTATCTTCTCCCGGGAACTTAGTGTATTTGTAAAAAAAGTTTGTAAACGGATCCTTCCCCATATCCATATATATATATATATATATATATATATATATATATATATATATATATATATACTTATCGTTTCTCAAGCTGCTTGAGATAATCTTATCTCCGGCTACTAAATCATAATCGTACAAAGATAGATCAATGGTGATAAAGGAAGAGAGAAAAAAAAGAAATCATAACCATTCAAAGGTGAATCAATCAATATAAGAAAATAAATAAATAAAACTACGTAATTTTGGGATAGCCGGAGATAAACTTATCTCAAGCTGCTTGAGAAATGTTTTTCCCTATATATATATATGGGCCAGGATATTCTTACACCGGTGTAAGAGTTGGAAGTCTTACACTCAATCTTGACCATTGATCCACTTGTATTCAATGGCTAATATTACTAAAAAATTAGAGCCCTTAGATATAAGTGAGATTAATGGACAAGATTGAGAGTGTAACTTACACCGGTGTAAAATGATCCTGACCCTATATATATATATATATATATATATATATATATATATGGAAAAAGAATTTCTACAGCCACTTTAGATAAGGTTATCTACAGCTACTCCTTCTTAACGAAGTACGACCAGTCGTACTTAGTTATAACAATAAAGCTGCTCTCTTTTTTTTCTCTCCTCATACACTGTTGGCTGACGTGGCGGAGAGAGAAAATGCATTTCTAATGTACGACCGGTCGTACTTAATTAAAAAGGGATAGCTGTAGACAGCCTTATCTAAAGTGGCAGCAGAAATATTTTTCCATATATATATATATATATATATATGAGTTCACTTTTTCTGCAGTTACTGCAGATAAGTTATCTTCAGTAAGTCCAATATGATGTCGTTTTGGGACAGAAATTATAGAGTTTTTGTAATTTTAATTTATTTCAGTGTTATAATAGTCTTTATATTTATAATTTTTTAATATTTCAATCCCAAAATGACGTCGTTACAAATAAGTTATCTGCATTTACTCCCAAAACGACGTCATTTTGGAAATGAAATATTACAAAAATATAAATATAAAGACTATTATAACCCTGAAATAAATTAAAATACAAAAACTCTATGATTTCTGCCCCAAAACGACGTTGTATTGGGCTTACTGCAGATAACTTATCTGTAGTAACTGCAGAAAAACCGAATTCTTTAATATTATAAAGGGGTTTATATTTCTACAGCTGTTGTACATGCAGCAATCAAATACTTATCATATATATACTTGAAAAAGCATTAAATGCGGGGAATCATAATCATACAAAGGATGAAAGCATTAAATATGAGGAATCATAACGATACACCTGTCGTTGCTGTACGTAGAGCGGCTGCAGAAATAATTTTACCTATATATATATGTATATATATATATATATGGTAAATATTTCTACAGACAGTTTAGATACAGTTATCTACAGTTACCCTAATAATTACGTCATTTTGATTAATGAATGATGTTTTTATAATTTTAAGTGAATTAATGAATGATGTTTCCGTAATTTTTTTTTTCATATGCATTTTACAGAAACATCCTTCATTAATTCACCTAAAATTACATAAACACCCTTTATAAATCAAAACGACGTAATTTTTAGATAGCTGTAAATAATCTTATCTAAAGTGGCGATAAAAATATTTACCCATATATATATATATATATATATATATATATATATATATATATATATTGTCTTCCTAAATGGAAGCCTTTCCAATCTTTTCCCCGGGATATACATTTGCCGAAGGAGCACAGGAGAAAGCTTCAGACATTAATAAAAAAATGAACTTTAGTCCCGTTTGACGTTTAAGAAAGTTTCAGGCTATATGAACGTTCTTTCATTTTATTTTTTACTTTTTTAATTTAGAGCACAGCCTTTCCAACTTTTTCTTTGCCAAGTATGGGCCATTCCCTTATACAGCATTGGTCCAAATATTGATTATTAGGGCTTCAGGACACTGTCTAAGGGATGGGCTTAATTAGGCCTTTTTTCATCTAAGCGCAATAATTAGGACCAAATTGTATAAAGTTTTTTTTTATATGTTTTATAATATTATTTAAGGGTTTTATGAATATAATGTTGTATGAAACTTCTTGCGCTATGTCATAAACATATAAATATAAATATTGTGGTTCCTACTGCATAGAAAAAGAGAAAAAAAATTGGAGTGGATTCCTCACCTTTTTAAGTGTGTAGGAAAAAGAATTTGTGTCATGTAATATGACACTTCTACTTCACATTATTTAAACAAAATATAACGTTTATTATATTTTATATTTTGATTTTGAAAATTCAAAATAATAATAATGATGCTATATATGACTGAAAAATAATAAAATATTACATTAAAAAACTACATATATATAAGCACTTAAAGAATTTATCTATGTTTAGCCTAAAATTTAGTGAATAAGATATGATAGACGTTGTTCCCATCATAAAATATATCTAACCAATTTAGTTTCTATGACTAGTATTGTAAGGGGAATTGATTCCAATTTGGTAAAATTTTATATTATTATTTAGATAGTTGAAAATAAGTCTTTAAATAACTAAACAAAATAATTTGAATTAAAAGCTAAAAGTTAAGGATTTAGATCAATGTTATTAAAACCGACCCGGTTATTGATCCGGTCGATGTACTGGGTCAGTGGGTCACTGGTTCAATCAGTAGGTCACTGGTTCAACCGCATGACTCGATAATTATATGTAATTTTATAATTTATATTAAAAAATTATAAACATACTCAAATATCTAAAAATAATAATAAAAATTTCAAATATTTTAATATAAAAAATAATAAATCACATACTATTATCCAATAAGTGATCAAATAAACATATAATGATTGTGATACGGAGCTTTAAATTCAGAAAATGACATCTTTAACTATAAATCAAATCAAAATTTTCTGCATAATGCATGATTGAGATAATATTAATGTTGTAGGTACGTAACTTATGTAAGTCAATAAGCAAAAAAATATTCAAATATGTCCATTATGAACTTTTTTTTTTGAAAAAAAAAAATTGGAATTTTTTTTTAGGACGGGTCACCGGTTAACTGACCGGGTCATCGGTTTTCATGAAAACCGGCAGGGTCAAACTGGGTCGCACCAATTTTGATACATGACCGGTCCGTTGCTTCAACCGGACCGGTTATATGACCGGTTTATCAATTTCCGGGTTGATCCGGCCGGATCAGTCCGGTTTTAATAATTACGATTTAGATTACTGGCTCTTGTTGAACTCCAGTTGGAGAGAGGAGAAAGAAAAAATAAGAAGAATCCACAATTTTTAAAAATGTGAGACTCACATGTCCTCTTTATTTTTCTCTCTAATTGCACTTGTAATTAAACGGTGAGTGATCCAAATCCAAGAACTAAGGATTATATATAACATACAGACAGAAAAATTATTTATAATATGTACCAAAAAAAATATTTATAAGAAATCAATGAAATGGAGAAAAAATTAGGGGTGTTGCACTGGTTCCATTGCTTTAGCCATTGCCAAAATTCAGCTCGTGAATTCTCTCACCCTGTGTTGGTGCTCAAAATTAAACTTCATTTTAATTAAGGAATGGGCTTGCATAGATTCTCTAGGAAGATCAAAACAAAAAGAAGAAAAGAAAAAATTGTTGCATCAATAATGTTGCTGAAATATTTTAATGTAAAATTACCCATTCCCATCTTCATCACCTCCTTGAAATATTTTAAAGCAATGTCAAATGCGTAATAATAACAAAAACAAAAATCCAGAAATACTCATCTAATCAGCAACTAAATCCAGTAGTATTTGTACACTCCCTAAATTAAAAATAAATAAATGAAAGGTACAATTCCAACGAGGCTAAAGGGATATTTGTAGTCAAACATGAAGGCCCAATTATATCATGCAACTTTTTAAAAAAAAATAAAAAATCTGACATGAAAGTATCATTTTGCATGCACACATATATATATATATATGCTTATATAGGATGCAATTTTTTTATTTTATTTTTGGGTGTCATATATACGAATTACGATAGGATTAAAGGGAAACAGAATAAGTGGAGAAAAAAAAAAAATCAACATCTCGATGCACAAATCTGGGTTATTAATTAAAGAGAAAAGAGAAAAGTAATTTAACTATTTAAACCTAGATTCTCGTTCATAAGACCCTTTCCACTGGAGACACTCAAGTGGTCGGAATTGGCCATCGAAGGCACCCCATTGCCGCATCTGGCCACCGTTC